AGAAGAAGACGTTTGTGCAGAGAGTCATGACGCCAGGATCAGTATGGCAGATCATCATCGCCGCTCTTCTGGCCATTGCTATTGGTTTGGCAGTTACCACTACGGTAGACGAAGTACCAGACGCGGCCATCACGATACTTGCCATCCCAGGTAACCTTTGGTTGCGCGCATTGAGAGCAGTCGGTATGTTGCAATGAAACCTCTCTAGACGCGTGAGCTGATTATCGCAGTACTTCCAATGATCGTTACCGCAATGATTCTGGCAATCCAACGTCTGCGCAACATGACACAGGGAGGAGGTGCAGCGGGTAAACTCGCTCGCTGGACAATTGGCTACTACGTCATCACCACCATCCTCGCTGTCGCACACTCTGCCCTACTAGTCGGCCTGGTCTGGAGTAAACTCATGAACCCAGTCTCAGGGAGTGCTCTGGATCTGGACGACGAGAACAAGGAGCTTGTGGACGAAAGGAAAGAAACTGCCATCCACGATGTCGTCGAAGACATGTTCTTCTCGTTGGTTCCCAACAACATCGTCAACGCCCTGGCGACCGATGCCCTCCTTTCGGTACTTGTCACGGCCGTCGTCCTTGGATATGTCATCAAGCCAGGAGGTGCGATCCATCGAGCAGTCGAAGAAGTCGAAGTTATCGTCCTCAAGGTCATCACAGTTTTGATCCACCTTGCGCCTATTGGAGTGTTCTTCTTGATCATGCCGAATCTGTTCCGTCTCGATATTGCTGAGATTGGGACGAACCTGGGTATTTTGATTGGTGGTACCTTGGTCGGCATGTTCATCCACCTTTTCATTGTAATTCCCATCATTTTCTTCGCGATCACCAGATCCAACCCGTACACGTTCTGGATGAAGATGAGTCCAGCATGGATTACCGCTTGGGGAACCGCCTCCAGCGCTGCGACCTTGCCCGTTACCATTCGCTGTGTTTTGAAGCAGGGTATTCCCATCACAGGTCAGTCTCCATGGTTATAGGTAGTCGATCGCGATCACTGACACACAGTTAGTAACCAAGTTTGCCGTACCTCTCGGTTGTTTGATCAACATGGATGGTACTGCGATCTACTTCCCGATCGTCGTCGTATTTTTGGCCGCCACTCAAGGCATCACCTTGAACGGTGCCGATTACATCATTGTCATTCTACTCTCGACTCTCGCTTCGATCGGAACCACACCTATTCCAAGTTCGAGTCTGGTCTTGGTTGTCATGATTGCTTCCAGTGTCAACATCCCAATCACTGGAATGTACGCCGTCGTCATCGCTATTGACTGGTTCCTCGACCGCTTCCGAACTGCAATGAACGTCAGTTGCGATACTTTCGCAGCCAAGGTTGTCACGCACATAACGGGGATCAAAGACGAAGATGGTCAGTCGTACGATGAGGCCGAGAATGTCGACCCGAACTCGCTCGGACGAACAGATGACTCCAAGGTTTAGATGCTGTTTCCCCGTTTTAACATAGCGGTCTTGAAATCTCCGAATTCTTCCGAGCTCAATCTTAAGTAATGCAATCCTCTTTCGCTCATAATCAACAGCGTTCCTTCTCTTTATGATCGTGAATCAAGGTACTCATATCACGCGATCTGACAGCGTATTTCGTAAGGCCATCGCATCGACCAGCCATGTCGGCATGCCGCGTGACAAGCGGACCTCAGATTGCGCGACTTGAACGATCAGGTCAACAACACAACGAAAAGAATACGCAAAACCAAAGAGGACGTGGTGGAAGAGATGAGCAGTGCTGCATAGCGTTTGCCGCATATGCCCTCGCTCCTGATATAGGCGCGCACGAAGTCTGGAAATGTGGCCGGTCCGGAAAATTAGCCGGCTCGGAATCGTAGTCAGTCACGAAAAATAGCCTGGACATCCCCCCTGTGGATCTGGCGGTTGTTCGGGACGGCTTAGTGCTGTGGAAAGACAACATTCGTGGGTGTTTTCGTGATGACACAGTCGAACGCTTCGTCGTGGCGGCCGGGAGGAAGCTTCGCTCCACTTCGCGCCGGATCACGGGTCTTGGCGCGTCAGCTGCTTTCCCACCTAGCCATCATTGCGTCATGAACACGAGGCACGATTGAGATGTGCCTACAACAGAAACGAACGCGTTCTAGTCGCGACTCTTACGCGGATCGGTTCTATTAAGTGCTGAGGAGATAACTGGCATGGAGGGATGGTTCATGTCGTCGCGTATGACGACGTTCTGGTCCAGCACCGTCCAAGGTACGTGTTCTGACCCCTATCAGTCTTTACTTCCCGAGGTCCTCATACGAGGGTTTGCATCATCTTATGTTCTCGTTCGAACATTCGTATACAGCTCAACGCTACGCGATAGTCAACTTTTCGTCTCTAGTCTATCATGCGACGTGGAAAGTCGCGTCGTTGCGCGCGTTGTATGGTATCGGCGACCCTTGTTGATGCACAACCCGTTCGCTTGCAGACCTGTCGCAACCTATACGAACAATATCCGGAGCAATGCACTTAAAAACACGCGGTGTTCATAGGAAGGCTTTCACGACAGCCTCGCGCCTCGCTGCTACAAGCATCTTCGCCCTTGCTGACCGCTCGCGCATCCGCCATGATGGCTGAAGAAATGATACGTAGCTTAGAGCGCCCATGGCAAACAGGACGCAACAAAGCTCATGCTTGGACTGTTGCGCTATCCGCAACCAAGAGACCTCGCCAACCCGATCAATGGCATGGCAAGAGTGCTTCCGGGTTCAAAGGGTACTAGAGCCAGAGTGATAACTAATCCTCATGCTAGCAACAATTTACTTCGGCACGTGGCCTGGAGCTCCAAGAGATGCAAATTGCTGTGAGCAATGGCTACAGGCCCGTTCTTCCACGTACTCAGTTTGCCATACTTCTTGGTAGGTCTCCCCGGATACCAATGTTCTGGAAGATCTGGTTCATGTGCGGAAGCTCTGATTAGTCCATTTGCACCAATCAGCAGCCAGATCGGATGCTTGGCTATTGCGATCACAATATATCGCGGGGAAGACTAACGCGGAGTGCAAGATGATCTCGTGAGAAGGCTCTCCGTGTCCAGAGTGGTATAGCGTCAAAATGCTCAGAAACCGAAACGGTACATATGTTTGCAATACGCGTAGAAAGTGAGGAAACACACTCAAGCAGAAAGACTGATCGAGATGATCTACGGCCTTGCTTCGCTTTTACTGCTAGCTACTAGTACTTCGGCTGCAGTAGTTAGCAGGAAAGCACCCGCTGGCTTTGTCACAACCAAAGGCAACGCCTTCAAACTAGACGGAAAAGATTTCTACTTCGCAGGTAGCAATGCCTATTACTTTCCGTTCAACGACGTCAGTATATTTCACTTCAGACTTGCCACACTTACTGAAACTCCACAGCTCCAATCCGATGTAGAGGCTGGCCTGGGTGCCGCGAAGAAGGCTGGACTCAACGTCTTCAGGACATGGGGCTTCAACGATCGCAACAGGACGACTCTCGCAAACGGACTACCACAGTACGGTGGCGAAGGTGCTGGTCCCAGTCCGAACGTCCTGCAATGGTGGAGCAACGGAACACAGGAGATCAACCTAGTACCGTTCGACAAAGTCGTCAAGGCTGCGGAGAAAACTGGCATGAAGCTCATCGTTGCTTTGACAAACAACTGGGCCGACTATGGTGGCATGGATGTCTACACGACCAACCTCGGCTATAAGTACCATGACGATGTAAGTCACACAGTCTTTGCCTACATGATCATAGACTAACATAACCTTCGTTAGTTCTATCATGTCCCAGCCATCAAGAAGGCGTACAAGAAGTACGTCAAGGAGATCGTCAAGCGCTACGCCAAGTCTTCAGCCATTATGGCGTGGGAGTTGGCGAACGAACCACGATGCGGTGCTGATGGTGTGCGCAACTTGCCGCGCAGCGAGAACTGCACCCCTGACATGATCACCGAATGGATCGATGAGATGAGCACATACGTCAAGTCACTCGACAAGGACCATCTTGTTACATGGGGTGGTGAAGGAGGGTTCAACAGGCCTAGTGACGATGGCTTCTACAATGGATACGATGGTGGCGACTACGACAAGGAGTTGGCGCTCAAGAACATCGACTTCGGTACCTTTCATACCTATCCCGATTGTACGTGTATTTCATTCGACAGGCATCAACACTATCATTCTTTGAGCAATACTGACTAGACTTGCGATAGGGTGGTCCAAGAGCGTCGAATGGGCAAACCAATGGATCATCGATCACGCCGAAGCCTCCCGTGCCGTTGGAAAGCCAGTCGTACACGAAGAGTATGGATGGCTAACCGACGACAAGAGGCAAGAATACCTCAGCAAGACCTCGAACGTCACAAGACTTGAAGCTATCGGACTATGGCAGGCCACCAGTCTAAAGGAGAAGATGCCGGATATGTACTGGCAATTTGGCTACTCCGGCTACTCTTATGGAAGCAATCACGACGACGGATTTACGATCTTTCTGGAAGACGCGGAAGCCCAACAGCTTGTCTACGAGCATGCAAAGAAGGTCAATGCTTTGAACAAGAAGTGAGATGTTGCGCTGTCTGGTTTGGCTCGCGCTTGTCTCACAGCAAACGCTTAGTGCTGTATGTACTAGTTCTCTTTCTTCCTGCAAAAGGCGTATGTTTGACCGGTAATGCGTCAGAAGTGAGTGGTGTCTTTATGCAAATTGGTTCGTTGCAGAGTGTTCCCACAATGTATATAGTCGAATTCTTTCACTTCCTCCCCACGCCACCCGTTATTTCGTTCGACATCGTGCACTGAAAAGGGTACAGCAACGTACTTCATTATTTCAAACTACACCAACGTGTTTCTTCGATCCTGCCAAGACGAACAGGTTGCACTTCTCTTCCGTCCGACTATACCACACTAGCTTCCGCTACTACAGCTGCCTGAATCTACACCATCCTAGGCCTATCATCTTACGCCTGTTCTCAGACCATCTCACACACAGTCTTAAGTCGGTCACCCGATTCTGTCGACGATGTGCGGCTTCACATGCGTTACATACAGCGAGTGCGCCCACACCGTGCTCTCGACGAAGCCCGAGCACACCTCTCTTTGCTTTAACGCGAAAGAAATACACTTAGTCCAAGGTGTCGACTGTGCACCCGCGAACTGTGTCCCGACTGACGACACCGAAACCCGGATTGCCGCTGAGAATACTATCTTTGATTACTGCGATGACTGCCGAGCCGAAGCACGCGCTGCTAAACCGATTGAGCGCGGTGAGATGGATGACATAGTGCAAGCTCATGCGCACCCAAATGAAGAAGATCAAGGCTCGTACGACGAAGACGAGACTGAGCAGCTGCAGGATTTAGCCACCTACCTCGATGTAAAGCATGCTGCTGGTCTAGAGGTTATTCAACAACTCAAAGCTTTACTATCGAATCCGCTTGCGCTCTCTCGTATCACAGACCCCGAGCTCCGCATTCTTCTATGCGCACCAGACGTTGAAAAGCACTTCGCTACGTTCAAGTACTGCTCAGAACTCTTTCCAGTCATGGGCAGCTATATCCAACAGCGCGCTCCAAACAAGGTGTTCATAGAAACATTCGTGTACCTGCGCGACAAGGCGAAGAAAGCCACGGCGTTGCTGGAGTGTTTCCAAATCGTCATCGAGTGCGTCCTCAACTATAAGCCGTCCCGACCGGAAGAGCACTTCAACGGTAGCGAAGCCCGATTGAAGTTCTTTGGCGATATGCTCAAGTGTATGATTACCGATAGGCATCTTGAAGTCCCTCCGATCGCTTTCCATTTCCACGAGAACAACTTTACTATTCCCAAAGCCACCCTTCAGCAGCTTACACAGGATCAAGACGTGCCGCAAGCTTGCACCGAGAAACAGGAGAAGAACTCGGATATGAAACCATCGCGGAAGGAGCGTGGCATTCTGAATATACATCATCTGGCGTTCGGTCCAGAGTCACTGAAAGGACTACTGGACGACGAACCGTCCCGTAACTTCGAGGCAGTACATGTCGCGTTTTCGGAAGATGGGAATGCTGTGGGTATAGACGTGGAGGACGAGCAGGGTAACAAGCTCGTTTGGAGAGATGGCAAGTCGCATATCATCTTCGCTGTTACCAAAGCTGAAGATAAAAATGCTGTCAAGGAGACGAATGAGCAACCGACAAAGCCTACAAATGCGCTTCAGACTGCGCTAACGAAGACACCAAATCAACCAACCGGCGGCTTTGGTTTCGATTACTCGGATGATGAAGACGATACACTCGTTCAGACTGAAGAGGAAACTAAGGCTATTGCGGTCGAGAGCAACGGCATGCCCTCAGACCCGTCACCCTACCTATGCATACCCTCCTCCCCACCCGTATCGGCCGCAGAGTGTTCATTCCAGTCTCATTCATCTAGTACGTCTAATCCATCCTCACCATCCCTTCCAGCTCTTCGGAACAAACGCGAAAACGAAAGCGCGGAAGCAAGTCAACCCAACAGTGGCTCCTCCTCACCATCGTCTCGTAAGCGCAAGTCGTTATCGAGCGAGTCAAGCGAAGACAAAGAAGGCATTAGCGGCGACGAGGAAGAAGACAAACAACACTCCGACCCTCCCATGAAGCGAAGCTGCAGGACCAGTCTATCATCCGACTCTTCATCTTCACGATCTACAACGCCTATAGAAGCGAAATTGCGCACTTCTCCATCAGCGCCAGCATCGCCGTTGGCGGACCTACCTCCTCTACCATCTTCGCCTGCATCTCCAGATAGTTCGTCGTTGTCTTCTGTATCGTCTTATGTGGACTCCGCATCATCGCCTCAGTCGCCTCCTGCGCCCCTTCCGCCGCAGCCAACGACGCCACAGCACCGCATGCAGACGCGTGCTATGACACGTAGTGCAAGTACCACACCAGCGCCTCCGGATGTGGCATCTACGAGAGCAACGCGTTCATCGAGGAAATGATGGAAAGAACAGTGTCAGCATAAGAGACAGAGGGGCTGATGAGATGGATGAGACTTTGAGAGAACAAAGGAACAAAAGGGAACACAACTATATCCCAGGTAATTGCACGAGAGATATCGCAGTGGCTTGAGGTCTCGTGGATCAGTGTTGTTGCATAGGCTTTTGCGCGTCGCGTTCTGTCGACACTTATCGTGTGTTTTTGTTATGACTTGTTTCAAGACTATTCCATTCCTTTAGTCAACAAGAGTTCCCGGGTATGTAGTCTTGAAGGTTGTGACAAAATGCACAAATTCGGGTTGAAAAAGATCAGAACAGCTTTTGTGGGTATCAAACGACCTACTACGCCCCGACTAAACCATGCGCATGTATTAGATATGGTGTCGTACGCTCCACAATGACAAGCGTATGCAAGCGCGGCGAATGACATTAGAAGTTGCAGATATAGCTCATTCGGAGTCGTCACCTCCGCTGTCGCCGCTCTTATCATCCTCCTCTTCTTCCGATTCGCCCTGGACATCGTCGTCATCATCGTCATCGTCGTCTTCGTTATCATCGCCGCCAGCCTCTTCCTCGCTATCGTCTTCCAGTACAACCTTCTGCTGTGGTACAGGTTTTGCTGCTGCCCTTCGGCTTGGTCGACCCGTAGCGGTGACTTCACTTGCCTTTCCCCACGCCGCTTCGCCCTCTTTGATTGCCTCGAGGTCTTTCGCAAACTCCCTCTGCTCCTTGATCTTGGCTGCCTTTTCAACCGAGTATTTGCCATCCATGCCCACGTCCTTCAGCCAGCCCTTGAGCACACGGATCTTATCCTTCGATGTGTCGCACTGGGACAGTTCGGGGTCGCGCGACCAGACTTTTCGGATGCCACACTTCACGAGCCAGCCTTGGAGTCGCTTGACTTCAGCGGTGTCGGGATCGTCCTCGGTCTTCGCTTTGGGCGCCGCTTTCGGTTTCGCTGGAGCCTTTTCTTTCTTGCCCTTCGCTGCAGGGGCTTTCTTCTTCTTCTTGGGCTCTTCGTCTATGACGCTGGACAGATCACTGTCAGATACGTCGCCCTTTGTGTCTGCCTTCTTCGCTGGCTCGGGTTCGGCGTCGCTCTCATCGTCGACCGCGGCGCCGGGTCTGGACGTTGGCTTCGGCGAATCCTCCTCGTCCGAATCTTCTGTCACAGTCTTCTTCCCCCGCCGTACTAACTTCTTGGGTGGCTCGCTTTCTGCGTCGGATATCTCGGCGGGTGGTTCTGAGAGCTCAGCTTCAGATTCTTCGGACTCGGTCTTCGCGCGCTTCTTAGGTTTCTTGGCAGGTGCCGCAGCCTTGCGCTTGGTGCCTCTGGCGTTCTCGGTGGCAGCCTTGGTCTTCTTTTCGGCAGGCTTCGCTTTGGGTTTGGGGGCGGCTTTTTTGGGAGTAGGCTGTGGTGTGGGCTCATCGGAGCAGAACTTCTCCTACATATTTTTAGTACCTGTTAGGCATTGGAAGTCGGGCTTCATACCACTGCGTCTACGATGACTTTCTGTGACTTCTCTTTCCATGTCGAGTCTGTCTTGAAGAAGCCTTCGTCTAGGGCTAGCTCCTTCTCTGCGCGCGCCCGAACGCGCTTGACGGTCAGATCCTCGCTTTTTCCAGATTTGTGGATCGCGATGACAATGTCGCGCAGTTTGTTTGAAATGTTCGCCTCAGAGGGCTGGTCTGCTTCGGAATCCGACATGATGCGCAGCGCGTTCGCAGATGGTGTTGATGATCGACGGCCGTACGCGATAGACGCGGCGGTTAGGGCAGGCACGTCGCCGGTAGCGTACACGTGACTCCGCGGAGAGACCCAATGGCGTCAAGTGGCATCAGGGCCTGCGGGGAATTCGTCGTGTCGAGCCACGGCGATGTATCAGTTGAATCCCATTCTTTCCTGCTGATTGCATGAATCGCATGGCATTGCCAATGCAGATGCCCATAGATGATGCTGGGCGCCGCCCTTTGACGTCGAGTTGGTCTGTGAGCGCCCCGCGTCTGCTGGGTTGGGCAGCTCCACGACCGACGTCACATTTATTCCCAAGTTTCACACAGACACCGCCAGCTTCATTCAGTGTTTTCCAACGCGGCCTACACCTGTCAGCGACCGAGCTGCATGCCGCCAGTCCCGACCGCCCCTAGCCCCAGTCATCTTTAACTTTAGCATCTGTCCGGGTTGTAACTGCGCCCTGCCGTCTGCCAACTCTGGACGCTTGAGCTCGGAACCTGCGAGAAGCCGCCTCCACCTTCGAGCGGGCCTTGATCTATTATCATTCTTTCGTCACGCCAGCACCACAATTAAAATAACTGATCCCTCCCCCCTCGCGCCAGAGGAAACCTACCCACACCGCCTGCTCACCGGCCCCAGCCACGTTGCGGAGGTGAATGCTGACCTCGCCCAACACCCTACGCCGCAGATAAATTTCCTGTCAGGAGTTTCGCGACTCAACCACCTTACAACCCCCACTATCCAACATATCCACCGCCAAGATGTCTAACGCGCCCACAACCCTCAAGCAGCCCGAGTCGTCGGAAGGACGTCTGCTGCTCGTGTCGAATCGACTGCCCATCACCATCAAGCGCTCCGATGAGGGCAAGTACGACATGTCCATGTCCTCGGGAGGACTGGTCAGCGGTTTGAGCGGACTCTCCAAGACCACCACCTTCCAGTGGTATGGCTGGCCCGGACTTGAAGTCCCCGAGGACGAGACAAAGACTTTGAACGACCAGCTCAAGGAGAAGTACAACGCGGTACCTGTCATGCTCGACGACGAGCTCGCAGACAGGCATTACAACGGATTCTCAAGTGAGATAACCCTCATAGAACCATGTCGCTGCCAGCACTAACAATTGTAGACGAGATCATGTGGCCGCTTTTCCACTACCACCCCGGTGAGATTACCTTCGACGAGTCCGCTTGGGACGCCTACACCGAGGCCAACCGCCTGTTCGCAAAGGCCGTCGCAAAGGACGTACAAGACAACGACATGGTCTGGGTGCACGACTACCACCTGATGCTCATGCCCGCCATGTTGCGCGAAGAGCTCGGCAACACCAAGAAGAATGTCAAGATTGGCTTCTTCCTGCACACACCATTCCCCAGTTCCGAGATCTACCGGATCCTCCCCGTCCGCAATGAGATCCTGCTCGGCGTTCTCCACTGCGACCTCATTGGCTTCCACACATATGACTATGCTCGTCATTTCCTGAGCAGTTGCTCGCGCATTCTGTAGGTGTCAACCTAAGGGCAGACTTCGCACTTACTAACTCGGACCAGGGGACTTGCCACAACACCAAACGGAGTCGAGTTCAAGGGCAAGGTCGTTACTGTCGGCGCTTTCCCCATCGGTATCGATCCCGAGAAGTTCGACGAGGGTCTCCAGAAGCCCAAGGTACAAGAGCGGATAGCAGCCCTCGAGAAGAAGTTCCAGGGTGTGAAGCTCATCGTTGGTGTTGATCGCCTTGACTACATCAAGGGTGTACCACAGAAGCTGCACGCTCTCGAGGTGTTCCTCACAGAGCATCCCGAATGGATCGGCAAGGTCGTTCTTGTACAAGTCGCCGTTCCTTCTCGGCAAGACGTCGAGGAGTACCAGAACCTCCGCGCAGTCGTCAATGAGCTTGTTGGTCGCATCAACGGCAAGTTCGGCACTATCGAGTTCATGCCCATCCACTTCATGCACAAGTCGGTCTCTTTCGACGAGCTTATTGCGCTCTATGCTGTCTCAGATGTCTGTCTCGTGTCTTCGACACGCGACGGTATGAACCTGGTGTCTTACGAGTACATCGCGACACAAGAGAAGCGACACGGTGTCATGATCTTGTCCGAGTTCACTGGTGCTGCACAGAGCTTGAACGGCAGTCTTATCGTCAACCCATGGAACACCGAGGAGTTGGCGGATGCTATCCATGACGCAGTCACCATGGGCGATGAGCAACGCAGTCTAAACTACCAGAAGCTGTCCAAATACGTACGGAAATACACTAGGTAAGTACCCACGATCACATCTCGACCGACACGTTCTAACTTCAAATAGCGCATGGTGGGGCGAGTCGTTTGTCACAGAACTTAGAAGGATCTCGGAGACACCAGACCGCAAAGTACACTTCGCTAACGCTCCGGTCGCGGGAGTTGATGACGCTACAAAGACTGCTGGTGAGACGAGCTCAGAGCTACCGATTCGTCAGGAAACCGGCAACAAGGACAAAGAGTCAGACCCGGCCGCTGCTGTCGATGCTCAAAAGGAGATCGACGGCGCATCTAGCCGATAGGCGCTGTGCCCCACGGTGAGCACCTCTGATTATTACGACGGATGATTTCATGTGACGAAAGTTCGGCGTGATGGATTCGCTTGGGTTAGACGATTGATGAAGGTTCCGATTCTCACAGTACCCCCTCAATTACTAGATCCTCTTACCTAGAAGCTGTAGTGGAAACATCACTGCAGTAACAATATACCCCTTCTACACACGACCTTTTTTTTTTGTACTCTAATCGTGACTGTTTTGTTCCGCGAGGGAGTTTGTACCTTCGTGAGAAACAGGTACACGAGAGCGTGGGATGTTCCTGCCTACGAAGGTCACTGCCAAGCCATTAGCGCGTCATCATCCGCTGTCGCAAACCTCACACGCAATTTCGCGTCTTCTGCGCCCCCAACCCCCATCACGCCGACAAGAAAACTTCCACCGGCAACTTCGGAAACGATTGGTAACGAGTTTGAGTTCACGCGTCAATACGAATCAGTCCTTGATGTTGACGCGCAAAACACGCTCATGAGAAACCACAATGGAGCGACCCGCGTCTTTTATTAGAAGTCTGACTACGTAGGTCTGACACTGACATGACCGAATCTCAGCAGTCGACTTAATCAGCACCGCCTATCTACCACTCAATTAAGCGCCACCAAACTCACGCTCCACGAAGTCGACAAAAAGGAGCGTACGTGTGCGGCTGCTGCGCTAGCTCCGAAGAAACGCCAGACGCTCCTTCCAAATAGTACCAGTCCCCTCAAACACCGACATTCACTGCCATCACAAACGCCAAGTCACTGCATGCGCTACCATCATTACTTCTGCTTGAACATCGCTGCCTCCCATCCGTACGCACGCGCTAGTCGACGTCCGTAGCGTCTGGCCAGAGTCAATGGCACTTCACCGCTCGGATGCGGCTCATGGAACTGGATTCCGCGTGGTAAGTTCAGCTTCTTCGGTGTGAATTGCCATGCAGATCCGTGTAGCTTCTCGACGGCGAATCCAAGCTTGGCAAGCGTGGCTACGACTTGATCCCAGCGGACTTTACCCGGGGGTTCGCTGTCGTTTGGCACGTGAAAAAGTGCTTTGATCACGATATAGGCGTCCTTGCCGACGTGGTACAACGGTTTCGAAATGGCAGCCGATCGCTCAAGTACATCCTCATCGGCATCCTGGGCTATGGCTGTCATCTCGCCATGCGTCTTCGCTTTGGTTCTATCATTGACATCTAGGCGATTGAAATTCCCAGTGATCTCTTTGGTTGGGTCGTGGAAGATCTCGGATGTGGCCTGATACTCGTACACAGGAGACGGTGTTGATGCCGTGTCAAGATCTTCGGAGTCACTCCACGGAGCCGTTCTTAGCATCGGGCCACCTTTGTCCAAGAGTCTGCGAATGGTATCGTGTTGAGAATATCCTGTACGCTTGCGAAAAGCATTGTCGATGTACCTCCAAAACTTGTCCAGGTTGCGTTCCGCTTTTCGACGCGCTCCCACTGTCTGCTTTGTTCGGACGCTCTCACTCGGATAATCGAACCTGCCATTGGATGGATTACCAAGATCTGGGGCAATGACACCTCCATCGTCTAGAACCTTTCTCCAGCGCGCCAAAGGTCGCATAAATTTGAGATACCACTCGGCGTACATGGGGCCCTTTCGCCCACGATCGAACTGATTCCTTAAATTGACGTAGCAGGAAGACACTCGCAGTTGATGAAGACACTCAACGCACACTGAAAGCGTATTCAGGTAGTCCTCTATGAATGGCGAGACTTTCTCTTTGGCGGAAGGCTCTCGCCTAAAGTACGTTTCAAGGCAATCTAGATTGAGATGGGTGTAGTCGACGATCTGAGTGAAGGCGGTCGTCCGGGTCAAGAGCTTCCTCACGCGCTGTCCGATGATATCGTTACTTTCCACTTCTGTGGTTCTGTAATCAGATTCACCTTCGAGCACCTTGTCGCATCCTGCTGGTATGGTAACTCTCATCATAAGATGGCGTAACTGTGGTGCACCCATCAAGAAGTGCCTAATGAGACCCGCGGCGTCGTAACTACCTAGACTCAACATGTAGTACAACATCTCCACACTATCCGCATAGCGCTTGACAAGCTCTTCGCTTGCTTCCACCTGCAAAGCCAGTCTGTGAAGAACTTCGACTTCGCTTGAAAGTCGGTAAAGCTGATCCCAGAAGACCAGGCCCGCGTACGCCTTGTTCAATGTCTCACGGAGAACCAGGGAGTAGAACTCGCTGGTTCCAAGTCTCTTCGATGGTTCTCCGGCTTCGTTCAGTATATTCTCATGTCGATGTTCGGCGTGATCTTGAACATATTCTGCGAAATACGCAGGGTCTTCGCGCAACGCCCAGGCATGGTCCTCGCACTTTTCCACTGCTGTCGAGATAAGGTGCCGGATACGTGCAAAGTTTGGCTCGCCTCGCGGACCAAATGGCGCCTTTCTGCATGCATCTGCAAGACTACTGCTCAGCTCTTCCGGATCTGACAAGCTCGGCGGTTCTGATAAAAGCGGATAATCGTCGCTGCACAGCGTCTCTGGAAGGATGTCATGCATGATGTTTTCGCAACAGCCGACGAGGAACCTTAGTACGCCTTCCTGGATGCGGAGTATCTGGAGGCCCTCTCCTAGGGGATTCAAAGAATGCATCGCCTGATCTTCAGGGACAGCGTGGGGTTCGGACTCAAGCCCTTTGATTCGGCCATACATCTCTTCGTTGAATTCCTGTGTCTTTGAGTCTTGGTCCCAGAGATTTATGAGGACATGCGGATAGCGGGTAGCCTGGCATGGGACGGCCATGCCAGAGAAGCTGAGTTCCGATTCAGCAAACGTGGCAGGACGATTGCGCGCCCGGGCGTTGATGAACACAAGCAGGGACTTGACGTCCGACAAGTCTTCTGAATTGATATAAGGTCTGAGCTCGCTGCTGGTTGCCACATGGTTTGGTTCTCCGCAAGCACATTCAGTGAAATTGCCATGCATGTTGTCGACATCCGGTCGGTGCAGGTCGGGCATTCCGGGGAAGACTACTTGAAATAGTTCTCGACGCTTCGCCGCAGACTTCTTTCTCCATCGAATCCGTATGGCGCCTTCGTGTCGCTGCACAATTGCGTTCAGACGGTGCCAGTGCGTGAAGATGTTGCGGCTCAGCGCGGCAGCTGTATCAAGCACTAACTCCGGTGGCAGGTCAGGCTCTGCGTCGTTGTCCTTCCGCAGAATCTCGAGAATGGTATCAACATCGTCCATCTTGCCAATTCTATGGGTATGTCAGTATTTTGCGCGATCGAAAGAGGTCAACACATACATCGATGCTTTACTGATCTGGATGTAGTTGATAGGACTGGACCAGTCCAGCGACTGCTGTTCGATCGCGACCAAAGAAAGATATTTACGCCAATGTGTGCGGTGGAGGGTCGCGTGTGTAAAATTGAGGTAGTGTGGTGTTTAGGCAAACAACAAGCTCTTGGCGCTATGACCGCCGATGGCTCTCAAGAGCAGAGAGCGCGTCACGTGTTGGCAGGCAACCTTGGAAGACTCTCACGCGACTGATTCGCATATCCTACTCCAAGTCCTCATCACAGCCATGCTCATACACCTACCTGATGAGATGGGTTATGTCTTTCGTTGCGAACCATTACCTTTCCCTTCGCTTCCTTGATCTCACTGGGATCTCTCACCACACGCATAATTGACAACTGGATCGCTCATATCAGATGTACGCTTAAGCACTCTTCTCTCAGATTTGGCAGTCACACAGGCTAGTCGGAACTTAGCCATACGTTCTTTCCAGTTGCGTGCGACTGCTCGCGCACGACCTGGGCACACACAATTTGCAAAATTGGTCATCTTAAAAGCTGTACTACCATCTATTGCCTATCGTACTCACTTGAAAAGGCTTCCTTGTTGCAAAGCTAGTGCGATAATCTCCATCAATATGTAGAATGTATGGGTATAGTATGTATTGCGGAAATTGTGAGTGGCAGATCGCGGCCATTATGCGTTAGGACAGTACACTTAGACATAGTCCACATGGGTTGACAGCATCTCACAGACCCTCGGCTGAGCTATAAAAATGACATAGGCAACATAATGAAGTGCCTAAAGGCTCTCACTTCCTCACCTACCGCCACACCTGCCAAGAGAAAGTAACGCTCTTTCCCCTCAGGTCCTGCACCCACCTATATCTAGCACTACCAGCTCTCCCTACTGACCTTCTACACCACTCATCCACTATCTCTACATCTCCACAATGAAGTACCTCAGTATCATCATCACGAGCCTAAGCGTGACCGCCCTCAGCTCCGCCGTACCACGCGGCGTACTCTCCGACCACAACAGCAACAGCGCGAACCTCCCCTCGCCAGCACAGTGCACAGAAGGCGAACTACAATGCCTCACTACCCTCCATAGCGGCTACGACGGCATAAACATTTGCGAGCACGGAAAGTGGGAGGCACGCGACACATGTCGCTGCACCGATAAGCCATCACCTCAGTGCATCGACGCTACGCTTTCTTCTCGCGACAACACTCTGAACCGCCGGTGCGAGGAAGGCGTACCGAAATGTATGTTGCGGGAGAACAACGGGAATGGAGGCGTGCTCTTCATGTGCAAGAACGGGCTCTGGAAAACTGCTATGCGTTGTCGATCTTCTGAGCGTTGTCATGATGGGAAGCTGGCTACTTGTTCGTGGCTTGGTGCAGCTTAGGGGAATGGATAGGAGAGATGTTTTGGCTATTGTCGTCGCTGAGATGGGAGAGCTGGGTAGTACCGTGAGCTCTGGGAGTAATAGCCGTGAGCAGGGAACAGGCAGATGGCACGGATGACCGCTTTATCACTTTGTTGTATTGTTGTGACTCTACTATCAACAGGAATGGAAGCATACTATCATCACCATCTCAAGGTATCGCTACATTCCACCTCTCTTCAAACGCCGTCAACACCTACACATTGCGTACAACCCATCATCTACATGTTCGCCAACAAGTACTTCAATCCAGCCCACATCTCTTCACCACTGGGCAAGATCTGCGCAGCGGGCAGGACGAATCCGTAGTTGCCGGTATCCCTCAACTCAACCGTCATGGAATAGTTTGCCTTGGCAACCTCGAAAGCGTAGTCCACAGAGTCGCCACTGACCTGGTAAATAGTGTTGCAGATAGGGCCACCTGTGAACGTAGTTCCGTGCACAGCCTTGACAGCGGCGATGGCGCCCTTGGTAAGGGAAGCATACTTCGAGGAGTTGGGGACGACACCAGAGCATGTATATCCGTATGGGTACATCCAAAGCTGGCTGTAGGCGTGGATGTCCATGTACAGCGCGATTCCGCGGCCGGCGGCTAAGCTGTCGAGTTGGGCCTTGAGCAGCTTAGTCTCTACACCGTCACCTGCAGAAGGGCCCTTGTAATCCTGTGCGCAGGGGGAAGTCGATGCGCCTTGGGGTAGGTCCCAGTGGGATGGCCAGTTACGGTTGATGTCGCGGCCTACGCAAGACGCTGAGGGAGTGGTCTGGCGGTTCTTGCGCCACAAGCGGTCGGCTGACTGGGTGTAGGCGAAGCCATCTGGGTTCACGATGGGAAAGATGTAGAAATCGTACGAGTTCTTGAAACCGGCCGTGGTTGAGTCGGTGGATGTGAGCAGCTGGTACGCAGCGTATTCGACGACCTGGACGAATCGATTAGTATAATGACATTCGCTTCCAGGGCAAAGTTTTGACATACCATTGTTGTGATCCATTCTCGTGCGTGGACTGTGCCGTGCCAGACTACAGCCCGCTTGGATCCCTTGCCGCCGCTGCCCCAGATGTGGATACCTTTGATGTCGCGGCCCTCGACTGACTTGCCAGCGGAGACTACTTCAGCATTTTTTGGGTACGCCGCGGCAAGATCTGTGATCCATTGCATATGGTCGGCAATGGAGTGGTACGCGTTGAACCAAGAGGCACTTGGTGCTGCACCGGCTGGAGCATACGTTAGAATGGAAACAAAAGTTTACAAGTTCCCTACGACAATGTAGACTTCTGGGGTGTTTTCCTTGCATGGAACGGAGTAAACTTACCGGCATATATGCTGACAGTTTGCTCGTCCGCGATAGAACGGCCAAGGTTGTCGTGCATGACCTTGGTCTATCCAGTTGTTAGTGTCAAAAAAAGAATCGTAGCTAGGAGGCTACAAACTGTCAAAAAGTTAGCTAAGTATGTTCAAATGTACTCGTGGCGGTTACTTTACCCTCTATGTCCTTTGTAGACGCTTCAAAGTCCTTGACTGCCGAAGGTGGGACCATAACGTCGACCACATCGCTGGATGCTGGCTTGCCTTTCCACAAGTCAAGTGAGAGCTTGCTCATGACATCGTCGATCTTGGCAGCGTTGGAACCGACATTGACGCGGTACACCTTCCAGTCATCGTAGTTGATCTTCTTCGTGTTGACGGTGGCCGCAGACGCTAAGCCTAAAGAAGCAAGGGCGATGTTGAGGAGCTTCATGGTATGTGAGGATGAAGGAGAAGCGTGAGGGAAGACTCCAGATGAAGGCACCGATTATGCTACCTTTATATTCAGTGGTAGACCAGATGATATCGCGCAGCCCTGCTCTATACCGGCACTAAAAGGTTAGCCCCGGCTCCTCCAATGCAGATGCGGAAGGTCGTCAAAGATCCCCAGATTCGCGCCGACCCGGTCGCTAGCACCATGAACGGAAGGAACGAAACAGGTGACTGCAGACTATACTAGTACGAAAACGAAAGTTTGGGAGATCCGTAGGGTAATGTAGACTCCCAGATCATTGTTTGTTTGGTCTCTGATTTGGATGGGGCCGACAAATCAGCGTCATCATGTACTCAACCAACCAAAGAACAAAGTAATCGCAATCGAATCACCACATAACGAGCGCGACCACAAGAAGATCCTGGAATCGGGTGCTGCTAAATTCGAGATAGAGACGATCATAAAAACACAAATGCGCGACCATTCGTTGACGGCGAACCTTGGCGTTTACGTGCCTACTGGTTTAGGCAGTTCGCTGGCTATGGCGGTTTGGTCCCCTGCTGATCCGTCTAGGCGCATGATGCTTGGGTCGCCTTCGAGCTTATCGTGGCCTTGGGATATTAATTACCATCGCAATGGAAACAGCTTCCTGGGCGAGCCTTTGCTCCGTAGGAGTTTAATGCCAGTCGGGCAGGTGGGCTGCGGAGGCGCTATTACCACTGAACGCGGTGTGTTTGTTGTAGAGTGTGAGTGGTCATCTGCTGAACTGTATGATCGACTCCACATCGTGGTTGTGTACCTAGGTATTGAGCCATTAAGTCATGTGTAACGAGTTGGAAAGGTTGCGCAGGAGCAGTGAAGCGTTCCGAGGTTCGCTGTGGCGGGGCGGGGTGCACGTGTTGTCTTGGCGGCGATCATGGCAACGCCATGGAGCGCAACGATCGTTCGTGTTTCTATTATCCACATCGATTCACGTCAACCTAATGAAAGCTAAACACCCTAGAGCCTACGTTAACGTTAGATTACCTACTTTACAGGTTTTTGTCTCAATGTAATCCGCAGACCTCCAGGGCTGTTCAGTTTTTTTTCGTGTACAAGGTGGATTGAGGCATCTTGGAGTATGGAGATGTCGACGCGCACCCTACTCCGTTCGCTCCTTCAAGCTCTAGCGGGAAGACCAACCAAGAACGTGGCATACTGAACGAATCGCTATGGCCTTCGTTGTAATCGCGCAAGATTCGCTAAAGAATGGCTGTGGGTAACATAAGGTATATGCGAAACTTGGTAGAGCCACCGCAAAACCTGAACATGATCTTGGCTAATCGTCACTCTTCGTTGCGTTTCTTCCACACAACCTTTTTTCATCTTCTTCAGACTTCCCAAACACACATTCCCACATTTTCGCCATGTCGTCGCTAGTTATCAACGCCGCTTGCGCTTTCTCGGCCTATGTACAGATGATGATACGGCCGACACCTTCACAATTGACCAGCGCAAAGATATTCCACATCTTCTACATGATGGTACCACTGTGCCTGTGGAACGTATACTGCCAGGTGCCCCTTGTCAATTTGATAGTGGGAGAAAGACAAGGTGGAATAACGACGAACTTCAAACACTTTCTTGCATGGTGGCTGGTGTACTACTTGGTATACTTCATGGCGTGGAGCCCGACGCTGCTTTATATATACTTGCCCGTTTTGTCTGAGTTAGGTGTTAGATGGTCTATTTGACCTTCTTTCGGACCTCAAGCGGCTGCGAAAACCGCATTGGTGCTTTCCGACAGCATTCCTGTATAGCCAACCGGTTACTCCCTCTTCAGTCCGACCCTACCCGCCTTCCTCAATCCCACGACAGCGATCATCATACAAACGACCATATACCCGAACATAAGCCAATAGCTCGCCCTATACCCCTTCAAAACAGCAACATCGTCCTGTCCCTCAAACGCCTCGCCATCATCACCATCACCATGGCCACCAGTACCCGTACTCCCGCTCTTAGCCTGAACCCCCAGTGCAACAACCTGGCAACTACCCATGCCCAAACTCATGCCAAACTGCGCAACAGTATTGAACACAGCACCAGCCAGCGCCTGCGTCTTCTCCGGGAAGTTGTCACTCACAATGATGAGACCGACGGTGAATAAGACATCGGCACTGAACGGGGCGAATATCTGCGCCCAGAAAGCGAGTTTCCAGTAGCTCCATGCTGGTGGCACGACGGCCATTAGGAGGGGCGAGATGGCGCAGATTAAGGCGGAGCCGGCGACGAGCCAGCGGGCAGGAATGCGGTGGACGAATAGTCCGACGGATATTTGGATCAGGACGCCGGCCAGGAGGTTGGGGAGGAGGTAGAGGGATGTTGCTAGCATGGAGGCGTGTTGGACTTCTTGGAAACTGGACGTGGGGTTAGCCATGGACTTTTGCTATGTTGCACAACAGAATGCTGGAGGATGCTGGAGGATACATACTACAGACTGGAGAAGAGCTCAATGGAATTCATAACGCCATAAGAGAGTGCGACCATGATGCATGTGCTGGTAAAGGGGAGACTGCTCCACAGCTTGTTTGGTACGAGGGCTGTTTTTCCACGTCGTTCACGGTAGTGCATCCAGGCTGGAAAGGCGCAAAGCAGAAGGATGCAGACAACGAGGAGTGAGGCCGTCTCTGCTGAGCGAATGCTTGTCAGGTCGGCGCTGATGATGCTACTTGCTGTTAGCTCTTGTCGAGTATGGGAAAAAGAAGGAGAACACATACGCAAGGACATATGCGAGAATAGCCAGTCCACCACTAGATATCATACCACCAACCCAATCAATCTCCTTACCAACCTTCTTCCAAAGCGCAACCACACCATCCTGATTCTGTGTAGGAAGTTTAGGAAGCGTCCAGATCGCAGCAACAGCCACCGCCAACGTACAGCCTCCAGTCACGTAAAACCCCAACCGCCATCCCGCTCTTTCAATCATAACACCACTCAACACCAGTCCAACAGCAAACCCAAGCGGCTGACTGAACCCCAAACACGCAAAGCCAAGATTCCTCGCTCTTCCAGACGGCACAGCACCTGTAATGATGGCAACAGAGGCAGGTAAATGCAGCGCGAGCGCCACACCCTGGAGAGCACGAAAGGCTACGAGCTGCCCGCCGGTCTGCGCAAACCCACATGCTAGCGTGAAGACACCGAGGAAGGTGATGCCAGTCAATTCAACGGGTCTAGCTCCGACGATGTCAGCTACAGAACCAGCGATGAGAAGTGCGGCGCCGGATGTGAGACCATAGACGGAGGAAGGCCATAGGTAAAGAGAGCGTTCTAACGCGATGGAACGTGCGATTGAGGGGAGGCCGACCGTGATGATGCCGTTGGTGAAGCTAGCTATGAAGCCGACGAAGGAGGGGGTGAAGATTGTGAGGAATGTGCGGAGAGTAGACGGTTTTGTGACAGATGGTGTGGTGGAAGATTCGGTGTCGGATGTGCGGTGACCATAACTCGAAACTTCTTGCGATGGCCGTGGTGGATGATAGATAGGTTTTACGGTTGTGGTCTTGGGTGTTGGTTGGAGCTCGAAGACCGAAGTCGCTGTTTGCGTCTGCGTCGCCATCTTTTAACCTTTTCAACGGGATATGAACGTACAATTGTCCCGGGTTTAGAGAGGAAATAAACTCTTGAGAAGACTTCAATGCTCATAATTTTCCAGCAGGTTCATTGAAAATTGTGGTAGACAGAATTCTTTAGTGACTAGCTTCACGCCCTACGACGGGCGGGCGACATGTCAAAAGTCAGGGTCCACCATTTGGGTCGACAATTTTCATCACCGGGAGAAGCATGGATGAAGATAGTGTATGAATTGTCAGCTGCCAGTGATGCAGTCGCATCCATCGAGGTTGAACGCATGGTGTTCATGGGTTGCCAAGGCTGTCCTGTATGCTTCGGATGCAGGTACAAGGGAAGGGATGAAGACGCTAATGTTTTTGCTGAGCTTACGACGGTTACTACGGTGCTACGGTATGCGCAAGAGATGAGACTAGTCCGAGGATGTGGACTTCCCGCAAAGGCGTGATGCAGGGCGCTGCAAGCCCTTTATGGGGCTCTTCGCGAAGGCGATCGTTGGCGCGCGTGGCCTCACCGCCGAGTCCATTTCTACGCGTCGCGTCAAAAAGCGGTAAAGAAAAAGAGGACAATTGTTGAGATGGTGTGCTGTACCGTCTGGACTAGACAGACTTCCAATCAATCGCGGGACGCCGCGTGGCGGTCAAGTTGATTGAGGTTGGCGGCCGTGCTGTTGCTGCATCAACGACTTTGTTTGGGTGACGTCGGCTCGCGTCCCCAACCTCGTCCTAACCTCCTGCATTTGCCCACCAGCCACCCGCACCCAACGCGCTCCAAACCAAAAGTTAACGGGAGCCACGCTTCCACGCTCCAAACCCCACACTACACATTGCTACCAACACTACAGAATACTCTCTGACTACTTTCTGCCAGTTGCATTCGCTGTTCGACCCGCTATACTCGACCTGCACCTGCGAAAACACCAACACCACCTTCTCGCCTACCATGGCGCCCCATCCCGACATTGCCGCCGACGAGCGGGCACTCTCGCCCATGGCCGTGAATGCTCTGCAGCTGGCCAAGTCAATGGTCAAGCGTGACCAACCTGAGCCATACAAGAACCTCGCCTCAGCAGGCGCACGCCCACCCAACGACCTCTCTGGCCCCGGCTTCCAGGCCCTGTTTGCTCTCATCGGTGTCGGACTCGCCCTCGGGGCTATCTGGTTCTTCTTCTGGGCTAAGAACGGTGGCTTCAAGTGGCGCGACAACGACTGGGAGGACTACAAATCAACTGTGCTGAGACGTAAGGGACCCGACGGAAAGACTCTCTCCAATGCAACCAAGAGCACCAAGCTCGGCGGCGGCAGTGTTGTCCACGGCGGTAGCTACTTCGGCGAACAGAGCGAGCTCAACTACACGGATGAGTCTGGTACCAGTGTCGACCCCAACGAATACCGCGACGCCGAGAGGGGCGAGGGCGGCCTTCGTGGCGGAGACGGACGAAGGCATAAGAAGCACCGCCGCGACCACACCAACGACTACAAAGACCCTGAGCTCCGCAAGTACCGCGAGGAGAAGGCTGCCCGTGTTGGTGGCCTCAACCGCGTTGGTGATGGCATGTACACCGACTACTCCGGCTCTCAACCATCTGAAGTCGGCGGCTCCCAGGTCTCTAGTAACGCACCGCTGGTCAAGAAGGACGCCAAGGAAGTCAAAGACCCCAAGAAAGAAGCCAAAGCCAAGGAGATGCGCGCAAGGGAACGCATGCGCAAGGCCAAAGCCGCCGAAAAGGAAGCCGCCAAGAAGGAAGCCGCTGAAGCCAAAGCCCGCAAGGAAGAACAGAAGGCAGAGGCCAAGCGCGCAAAGGAAGAGCAGAAGAAGTCCAAGAAGCACGGCACACCCTCTGAGGCTCCCGAAATGGCTGAAGTCACCCGTCCCATGATCGAGTACCGTTCCCCCGAGAGCGACTACACCCGCGCCTACACTGAGTACACTGCCCCATCTGAAGCCGGCACACCAACACGTGCTCCCACAAGGAGCAAGGCCCCCTCTGGACCTCGCCGTGCTCCTCCTTCCGCAGCTTACTCATTCACCACTGGCGACGACGACACCGCAACTGTCTACACCGGCGTCTCTACCTCAGACTTTGCCAAACCGCCTCCTCCCAAGGCCGCCCCCAAGACCGAGCGCAGCGCCCCCTCCGAAGTCACCGAGTCAAGCTACTACTCCGACTACCGTCCCAACGCCGACAAGTCCCTCTACTCCGACCCCAACAAGCACGCGCCCCGCTCCCGCTCAGCCCGCCCATCTCAGGACCGCCCCTCCCAAGACCGCACCTCGCGCTCCGGCCGCCCAACCTCTGAGTCTCGTCCCCGCCCCTCAGGCTCGCGTTCGCGTCCCACCTCCGAGTCGCCTCGCAAGCAACACCGCACTTCGCGCCCTGCTCCCCCTGCATCTGATATCTTCACCACTACCAACGGTGATTCTCAGGGCCACATGAGCTACCCGTGCCACATCCCCGGTCTTAGCCAGGCCGGCAGTGTGCACCCCATGGAGAGCGTGTCTCAAGTCGGTGTCCCGACTAACGCGAGGAGGGAGAGGGGCGGTAGAGATGTCATGGATGGCTACCGTCGTGGTGGCGTCCGTGCCGTTGGACGAAGGGATAGTTTGAGCGACAGCGACTAAACTCGTCCCTTCGCTTCTTTCTCTTCAGTAGTATGATTTGGCATTGCATACCCCCTTCTTGGCGTTATTTGGGCTTTTTCTTGATAGAGCGACTTGATCTTTCTTTGAACCTCGGGGTTTCAACTTTGTACAGCGAGCGAGATGAGAGATTGATGTTATGGATTGGATGTACAGACTTTGGAAAGGGTATACCAGTGATGGATGGAACGACGATGGAGGTCTCCGCACGAATGAAGGTTAATGACCTTGTATGTAGTAACACTCAAAGCAATACATGATGACACGGAAGTCACGATAATCAAAGACATTCTCTCCCCACACTTTCACACATACATATTCGTGATGCACATCGTCCACCAACACCGACCTGACTCTCACTCAAAGTATAGCACAGCACGCGAATGCCAAAAAAACACATCTCAGTCGAACGAAAAGGGTATATCACATTACTCTGTCCACTTCTCCCGTCGCAGAAAAACGAACTAGTAACTAGACTACAACGCTAGAACTTGCTTGCTGGCATAAGAACAAAAGCGGAATCCAGTCGGGCTAATCCTGAGAAAACGCAAGAGCAGATATAGAGAGACAAGAGACTGAGACTGGTTCATAGCTACATACATAGGCATTACCTCGTTGGTTTTCCAGGTTTCCTTTCCTTTCCTTACTTTCCGTGTTTCGTGTTCCGTGGTTCGTGGGCCAGATCAACTGGCCTTGGTTGTGGGTAGTGGGTGATGGGTAATTTGTTTGAGATGATAGTGATGGAGTTGTGTAGGGGTGGTTGGTTGTTACGATTGTGGTGGTGGGGGTGTCTTCATGATATGTTGGTGTCGTGTCGTAGCGAGGGTGCTATGTTGTGATGTGTTGAGAGTATGGTGATGATTTGGAGATATTGGAAGCAAGCTTCCTCAACTCATACATAGTCTACAACTCATCTCTCACAGCCTGGGTAGCTTGAGTAGCGGCGCTGGAAATACTGCTGACAGCTTCCTCGGCGCTACCAGAAGCAGCCGCGTACATGGACGCGATACGGCTGTTGGCGGCGGCTACGGCGTCGGCGATGCGGCTGTTTGCAGACTCCATGGCTCCTTGCTCAGGTCCGTAGACGGCGGAGCTGGCTGCTGAAGAAATGTAGGCTGCGTTCTCACTAGCAGCAGAGGCAACGTACTCGGCGTTGACACTGGCTACAGAAGAGATTGAGCTGTATACACCACCAGCACTGCTTGTAGCTGACGCGACGTAGTCGCCTGCGGTAGGCGTACCGAAGATGGCCTCGCTGATAGCAGCTTGGGCGG